TGTCAGCCAAACGGCCAACAAAATACCGGCCGAACAGTTGGCCCAACAGATCATTGATTACGCAAAGGAGTTGGAAATGATTGTCTGATTTGTATCGAAATTCTGTAGTTTTTAATTTATATTCAATAATTAAAATTCGAAAACATTTTTTGTATTTAAAAGTATTTTATTAACCATTTCTTTCAAAATAGATTAATAGATGAATAGATGTTCACAACTATTGTATTAAATTTTGATAAAAATATTGCTTTAAGTATTTCTGACAGTAAAATAAGCATTGAAGCATTTATTGACAAACAAATGCCGTAGTATTTGCTGAAACTGACATTTCATAAGTTAGAATCGTTATTACCGTAATCATAATTATAATTAACCCAGTTGACTATCGGTCCCTTAATTGAATTAACTTATTGGACGCCATTTAGCACTAAATGCGACCTAACAGTGACTGAAAATACCATTTGTAAAAGTATCTATAATGGAGTAAAAATTGAATATGAATTACCGGTAATAAATAAAATACAAATATATTCTTTAAAAAAATATCAACAAAATAGATGAGAATTCAGACGATAGACGTGTGGAGAGACATGTCGTTCCGAGAGGCAGGTCGTGAGGACTCTTTGGAGTCATTGTATTCATTGTGACTATAGTTTAAGTCTTTTAGAACGAGAATATTCTAGTCTTCAATTGAAAACAAATGAATTTATTAAGAATAACGACGAGCTCTTGAATAACACACAAAAGTTAAGTCAAGAGATGGAATCGTTGAGAGAACAGGCATTTAATAAAGACATGGAAATTGAGTCTTTGAAAGATGTTTTGTCGAAATTAAAAGAGACGAATGTCTTCCGCGAAGACCAAATTGATCACAAAACGATAAATTGATTTCTTTGGAAACGGAAACAAAACACTTGAGACTGAATGCGAAGACGCCGTCCGCCACAGACTTAAAGCTCAACAGAATTAGAAGTATTGACCAAATATTATAAGGAAAAGGAGATAGAATTGGGTAAAGAAATAGGTGTTCAGCACATCCATTGGCGCCTAAAGGAAGAGGACGTCAACTCAATGACCACTCAATTGGATGCCGCCTTAGAAGTCAATTGGACTCATTCTCTCCACTATCTCATGGGTCCACTAATTCGCCGCATTTGAACCAATCATGTAATATGTATTCGCAACCAAATAGAACCCATTGCCGCAAATGAATCCAATGTCGATGTCGAGTACACTACACAATTCAATGGCCAATCACATGCACACATCCGTGAAATCCGTTAATATGATGTGAGAGGTGTCCCATTGAGTGCAACCGAACGGCAATACATCCAATACATCCAACTTAAACTATAGTCACAATGAATACAATGACTCCAAAGAGTCCTCACGACCTGCCTCTCGGAACGACATGTCTCTCCACACGTCTATCGTCTGAATTCTCATCTATTTTGTTGATATTTTTTTAAAAAATATTATAAGGAAAAGGAGATAGAATTGGGTAAAGAAATAGGTGTTCAACACATCCATCGGCGCCTAAAGGAAGAGGACGTGAACTCAATGACCACTCAATTGGATGCCGTCGAAGAGGAAAACGCGTCGCTTAGAAGCCAATTGCAGTCAATGAAGAGAGAGATCACCGAAACTGAAAGCAAATATAAAAAGCAAATCACTTTATTGGAGAAACAGGTGCGAGAATTGGATCCTCGGCCGCACTGCCGAGCGATCACTCGATGAGTCCAAGGCAGAGGTCCACTAATTCGCCGCATTTGAACCAATCATATAATATGTATTCGCAACCAAATAGTCAGTACTCGAACCCATTGCCGCAAATGAATCCAATGTCGATGTCGAGTCCAACACACAATTCAGTGGCCAATCACATGCACCCATCCGTGCAATCCGTTAATATGATGTCAGAGGTGTCCCATTGGGTGCAACCGAACGGTAATACATCCAACACTTAAACTATAGTCACAATGAATACAATGACTCCGAAGAGTCCTCACGATTTGCCTCTCGGAACGACACGTCTCTCCACACGTCTATCGTCTGAATTCTCATCTATTTTGTTGATATCTTTTTTAAAGAATATATTTGTATTTTATTTATTACCGGTAATTCATATTCAATTTTTACTCCATTGTAGATACTTTTACAAATGCTATGTTCAGTCACTGTTAGGTCGCATTTAGTGCTAAATGGCGTCCAATAAGTTAATTCAATTAAGGGGCCGATAGTCAACTGGGTTAATTATAATTATTATTACGGTAATAACGATTCTAACTTATGAAATGTCAGTTTCAGCAAATACTACGGCATTTGTGTGTCAATAAATGCTTCAATGCTTATTTTACTGTAAGAAATACTTAAAGCAATATTGTTATCAAAATTTAATACAATAGTTGTGAACATCTATTCATCTATTAATCTATTTTGAAAGAAATGGTTAATCAAATACTTTTAAATACAAAAAATGTTTTAATCATTGAATATAAATTAAAAACTACAGAATTTCGATACAAATCAGACAATCATTTCCAACTCCTTTGCGTAATCAATGATCTGTTGGGCCAACTGTTCGGCCGGTATTTTGTTGGCCGTTTGGCTGACAGTCTTGACGGCCGGGAAGTGGAGGACAGAGCCGTTGATATTCCAGTTGCGTTTGCGGCGTTTGAGAACATTAACATTCCGCAACAGCTTCTTATCCTCAGCGAAAGGGAGGAGTTGCGGCTACACAACCATGCGGAAGAGTTAGCAGGCGCCGATCTCTTCGCGAATTGTGTCCAAAAGGATGTCTATAAAGTAGGTGTAGGTCTGGGAGGGAACGTTGCCTTTGGAGAGAAACACTTTATTATAAGAGCCTTCCATTAAGTACTGCTCCAAAGACACCGGATGTCGGATATAGACGTTGTTTTGGATCTCTTTTGCCGGAAGTAATTCCAACTCCTATTCAGATGTCGGGATCAGATATCATGTGATATTACAGTCACTGTTATTCATACCGTATGGAAGTCTGCGACTCTGTTCTGAGACAATAGACACAAGAGGTTGAGTCCAAGCAATTGGTATTTAAAGGCCGATTCCGGCAGATGTGAGCTATTAGTCCAACAAATCAATTAGTGGTCAACCAATCACTCCATTCACGTGACACTCACTTATAGTCGAAGTAATAGGTCTTCAATTGAGCCAAATATCGGTCAAACGATGGGATGTCGTGTTGGGCGACGCTATACAGGGCTCCGATCTCCAGCACATCCCTCGAGATAATGAGCTCTTTGTTGGCCACCGTCTCATGGGTTGGAAGAAACGATAGGCCCGTCAAAGACACCTTCAATTGAGTCAATAGTTGTCCGCATTTATCCATATTTGGTCGCTTCTGGTGCCACTCCTTCTTCAGCAACTCATAGAGAGCTGTCGTGTCTGTCATCGCATTCTTCGACATCTCTTCTACCACTCAATCACTTCGTTGTCTTCAGTTATAAACCAAATGTGGATTCAATTGAAAACTCAATCAAATGATTGTATTTTCTATCAGTTGTTGACAATTCAGTCAACTCTTATCTGTCAATTTGTGTCTTTATGTTAGTATGACTGCATTCAACAGTACAATATCCTATGATATAAAAGGGTCTAATCTATCGGTTGTGTGTAATGTGTTTGTGTGCCAGTAATAGGCAATGATTTGCAAAAATGCAAACTTTGAGACACAAACTCATTGCAAGTGTGAGGCGAACACAACGACCTCTGGGGTCATCACAACTAATGCAGTACTACTTGTAAGCCACAGAATATTCTTGAAAATTTTTGTTTGTAAGTGAACTCAATTGAGAACATTTATAAATACAAAATATTTAGCATTCATTTTAAAAATAATAGTTAATTGTCATTATTCTCATTAATATTGTCATTTGCGAAAAGTTTCAAAAATATTTAATTATGGAATATTCTATTCATAACCTATTATAACGGGAATTAAAGAATATTCTATTCAATTTATATATATATACGGTAATTGTTAATAATGTTATAAGTTATATGATTATTAACTGATTGTTAACTAGAAATAAAACCAACTTTGAAATAAATTATGAATGAATTTAAAGCGAATAAAAATAACTTTATTTCACAACAAATCACTTTTTCTCGGTGTCTTGTAATTGATGCTCAAACTCATCGCTTAAAAGTTTATTTGGATCCATGTTTTCCATGTCCTCATCAATAGTTTTATGTCCACCACTTTTATCTCCTTTAGACTGATCCCGGGTCTCCTGTGTGGGCACAACCATAAACTTCAACGTATTATCGCTTTTAATCTTCTTTTGATTTAATTTCGCGAATCCTTTCATTTGAGATTATGTCCACCACTTTTATCTCCTTTAGACTGATCCCGGGTCTCCTGTGTGGGCACAACCATAAACTTCAACGTATTATCGCTTTTAATCTTCTTTTGATTTAATTTCGCGAATCCTTTCATTTGAGTCTCAAATGTATTATAAATTTTCTCCTTTTATTCAAAAAAGTCAAAAGTTATCAAAACTCAAAGACACGTCGATATGAATAATAAATACCAGACTCTTGTGGTCCTGTCGAGGATTTGTCACTTGTATGGAGATCTGATGGCCTCTCGAAAGCCATCGTTTAATTGAATTAATTTTTGTCATCAAATCGTTTTCATCGAGTTTTGTGGATAAGACTAAACGTTTGAGTTCTTTGGCACTCTTGGACTCATGCTTGTGGTCACCGTTACTATCATCAGGTATTAAATGATCATCACTCATCTGATCCTCCATTTGCGCCAAATGTCTGTTTGAAACCAATCGAAACACTTTGTATTTGAAGTTAGTCTCGGGTTTGTCTTCAATGAGATTGAGTTTCAACTTTTTGGCCAAAAGTTTGGATTCATTGAAGGACTTGACGCCTAAGAACACAGGCGAAACCAGGAAGTTTCACTAGGAGTGAAAGCTGTTGAGGAAGAGCAGAAACCAGAGTTTCGAGAAGTGTAGACTTACTGAGGTAGCGAGTGTTGTTGGTGAAGACCTCCGTTAGGATAACAATGCATACAGTCTTCGCACAACACTTCTCGTTATAATTGACATAATTTTATGTAATATACAAATAATTTGCAAACATTTCAATCACTTTCAAAATAATGAAAAACTTTTAAATCATTTGTTTATTTAAATCGCATTCAAGTTAGACTTGTTTACAAACAAAGTTCACTCATATATTGAGTTACTTTCAAATGGGAGGGAAATTATAGGGTTTGTCATATCATTTGACAGTAAAAGTACAGATATTTAGCAAATAGGGGCACAAATTATTAGTGTTAATAGTAATGCTATTTATGAGTAGATGTTGTCATCGGTGACACGATTTGTTGTTTTGTAAACAAAATATCGCCGAAAGAGGTGTTGAATGGATGACACCAACTGTCAAACCATGTGTCCGCTTTGGTCCTTCAAAGTGATCCTCACTTTCGACAACTCCTTCTCGTCTTTGGTCTCAAAGCTCTTCACATCTGAATGACTCCATCGCTCACAACAACCACTTCTGGAGGCAATCCTATTGAATGCATACAGTCTTCGCACAACACTTCTCGTTATAATTGACATAATTTTATATACAAATCATTTGCAAACATTTAAATCACTTTAAAAATAGTGAAAAAACTTTTAAATCATTTGTTTATTTAAATCGCATTCAAGTCAGTCTTGTTTACAAATAAACTTCACTCATATATTAAGTTACTTTCAAATGGCAGGGAAGTTATAGGGTTTGTCATATCATTTGACAGTAAAAGTACAGATATTTAGCAAATAGGGGTACAAATTATTAGTGTTAATAGTAATGCTATTTATGAGTAGATGTTGTCATCGGTGACACGATTTGTTGTTTTGTAAACAAAATATCGCCGAAAGAGGTGTTGAATGGATGACACCAACTGTCAAACCATCGCTATGTCTGTCACCACTGATTGTGTTAAGTGTGAGATAACTCCTCCTAAAAGAGTGGTTCACTTCAGTGATGGTGTTGTCGAGGAATACGAGTCTAGCGAGGAGGAGGACACGACCTCAACGGCGAAGACATCACAAACTGATTCCAACCAACAATTGATTTCCGTATTTATATTCACACGATATGACAAATTGAACCACAATTTGATTGAATCTAATTATCTTAAGAGTTGGCCCACCATTTCATCTGTCAAGAGGTCTGTGCTATGGTTTGGGACACAGAGTCTCAAAGTTTGTGATTATTTGGGCGAAAATTTGGCCCATTTTTTGGGCATAACTTCTCCGAAATATGAATCAGAAATCGATGAATACATGAGACGTATGGCTGAACAAGAGATGCACCGCAAGAGACAATTGCAAGAGTTTTCCGGTTGGAGTCCATCCGATGCCACCAAAACTGACATCAATTGTGTGGACACTAAAGACATCCCCAGAAGTAGTTTGGATTTAGAGAAACAAAGATATTAATCAAAACTGACATCAATTGCTGTTATTATATATTCGCAACAATTTATCGTTTAATATATAATTTTTTATTTGCTTTACTTTTACAGTATTTCTATGAAATGTTAAAATAAAAATCTCATTTAAAATATAATAATAATTACCGGTAGTGATGACTGAACTTGTATTTTAACACAATCTTGATAAATTAAAAGCTTAAAATATACTGGTAAAGGTATTATCTGTAAATTGATTTGAAATTATATAACCTTACAAATAAGTTTTAATTATAGCAATTATTATTACAGCACAAGTAATCATAAAACATTTTGGACTTACGGTAATACCTCACAGTTACAGGTACAGGATAATTTTGTAAACCATAAGATAAAAGAATAGTACAGTATACTACTGTATATGATGTGTGATTTGAATAAATTGATACTTTTTATGAGATAATATTTTTTTTATTCAATTTAATATTAAAAATTCTGATAATTACAATTTTGTAATTAAGGCATAAATGTTACATAAGATTTAATAAATAATAAAAATATAATTTATAATTACAATGTAATAAATTAATTTTTCAAAGATTTAATTGATTAGATTTTTGGATGCATTTGTCATTTCTGACAATTCAATGAACGAACCAATTGTTTTGCTCTCAATCTTTAGTTTTTCCTCAATCTATACAAAAGACCAACACTTTTATCAGTTTATGTAATCACAGAATAGATAATCATTAAAATAATCGCTAAAATAACCTGTTTTCCAAACTCTTGGACGTCATAATAGATCTGAAGTCGAATCTTGTCGTCATCCGACATATTATTCAGATTATTCTTCGACTGATTGTTTTGAATCCCTATTTTAGCCTTTTTTAGTCTTTTAAGACTGTCTTCAATCTTCTGAACGGAAGTCAATACTTCTGAAGTGAATTGTTTAAAATGAGATGTGATTTCATTCAACACATGTCGCGTCCATTCACTGTTCCAGAGCTGTGTCTCACTGGATGTAATGGATGCCAACAAATCGATGCAATGGTTGATATAATTGGACGCTTTAGTGGGCACTTCTTTGTTGGTCTTCCTGTAAAGTCGCGGCACATCATTCACTTGTCTCAGTATTAGATCGCATTGTTTCACAAGACATGACTCCATAAGTGACACAATATTTAATAAACCCTTGGATTCAAGCGATTGTATCGACTCATCAAATGATTGCCTCAATTCGTCGCTATTTACTTGAATTGGTTTCAAATCAATGATATTCGTTGTGAAGAATTGTTTCGATTCATTCACAAAATACTTGCAGTCATTGATGAGAGTTCCCAACAGATGTGTGGCATTTGAGAGCCGACTGTTTGGTGCTTCAAATCCCGTTGTCTTAATGTCCGACTCATTGAGGTTTTGTAACCAAAACGAGTAACGACTCAACAATTGGACCGTAATTTTCCAGAAGGAGGCGAACAGAACCCCGATATAAACGGTTTGTTTGGACCAACACATAGTGAGACAATCGTACAGAGTTTGTGTCACTATATAACGGAATCCATGGTTAGGAGTCCTATTCATTTCAAAGGCATGTTCTTCAAGTGTGGCCTCAAATTTAGTGGCGATTTGTTGGAACCGAATGTGCAAATAGACCTCAACATTGAATTTATTCATCAGCTCTTTATAGCCGTTATTATCTTCTAATTGAGACCTTTTAATATGACTTTTGGCCACAAAATTATCGATGAATTCAATCGTAAGACAGTATTGCGAGTGAAATACATCTGGATTTCCGACTGAGAAGAGAGACGGCGTCCTCACGACCAGACAATTGGATATTTCACTCCAAACCGAGTGAATCATAAATGAATAATTCGTTTCATTCATATTCACGATTAGTCCACACTTTAAATCAATAAACTCAAGAATCTCGTCAAACAGTTGATTGATTCCATACCTCTGGAGGAATGCCTCGCAAATAACTTCATCCATATATGGTTTCACAAGTTTCCGGCGAAACATGTTTTCGATTTCTGTTTGCTTTCCATTCAATGCATATATTCTTAGTATTGAATTGAGTTCTTGTGAGTCATTATCAGTGATTGCGGCGAAGAATCCAAACTCAAGTCTTTGCTTCAGATCACTGGATATGGACTCAATGCGAGGCATCAGCTGTTGGTTCACTAAAGGGATGTCTAATTCAATGGATTTCAACTGAATTTCAATTTTGATTATAATTAACACTATTTTCTCAATCGATGACAAACTGTTGCTGTGATTATCACAAGAGTTACCACTATTTCTGAAGCCATCAAACCATTGCTCCGCTCTCTCGATGCCATCCATTATTGAAATCAATTTATTTAATTCACTTTTATTTCGACGAATACTCTCCAGACGTTTCATCTGATTCTCCAACTGTTTGATCCGTTCATTGAATTGGTGTTCAATAGTAAACGATTGATCTCTTAATTGGATCAAAGGTTGTGACAAATTATTGATGGCTTTGTCAAAACCCATCAGATTTGTGGACAAATTGACAAAATCATTGTAGTCTTCGTTGATGAGCTCAACCATCGATGTCTTCAACACTTTTAGATAAGAGCTTAAGTCATCCTTAAGCTGTTCCAGTGATACCTTCGACCGATTGGTCTTAAGGAATGAGTCGATGGAAAACAAATCACTCGCGAAGTCTTGTCGACTAAAACTATACGATTTGTTCGCTTCTGGCAATACATCACTTGACAACTGATCCCACTCCTGGCCACTGGCCTTCACCTCATTAACCTTCACACCAGTGGACATGTTAACGATGTTTGTCTGCTTCTATGGTAGATATGATTGATCCATGAATTGAGATAATGTCTCAAATGAGACCATTTATGACATGAGAGTACTGAGAGACCGGCTATTGATTGCTGTAATGACAACACATCACACATACAGTCAACACACGAATGCCGATCAGTTAGGGCTCTCTGTTGAGCCATTCATGAGTTTTATGCCTTTTATTCAAACATTTATTTGTTTTATATTTCATTTTCATATTTATTACATTTATTCAAACAATTTTGGGAACACTTTACGGCTGTTAATGAAGTTTTAGTCAAATATTATTCAAATCGGTTATTAATAGCATTTGATAACCGATTGAATGCATAGATCTCTACACAAAGTCAACACATGACATGTGAGAGACAGCGTGACTTCGGCTCAACACTTGTCACTCAATTGATCCACATTTGAAGCTATTGTACACACCATTGATTGGCCCACATATCTGACCGGTGATGACGGGTCAGTCAGAGTCAGAGTCGGAATCACTAGAAGTGAGTGTTTTGTGCGAAAATGAGGCGAAGAGTGGTGTGAAGAGAGTCCGCTCGACATTCATGTGCTCTTATGGTGACTGCAATGCTGTCTTCAATCGACAATTCAGACTCAATCGACACTTAAGACAACACTCCGGAGAGGTTTGTATTACCACTCATTCATATGTTATGATAAACCCATCGCTGACTCATTCACTTTCGTCTGTATTAGAGACCATTTGTCTGTCCCAAAAGTGGATGTCTTCGTGCGTTTAGTTGCAAATCATATCTCCATAAACACCTCCAAAGACCCCATAATCTCAACTCCTGTGATGACAACAAGGAAGAGCCTCAGAAGACCGGTGAGGAAGTGGTGAATAAGAGCCGCAAACAATACGTGTGCAACGATTGCCGCAAATGTTTTAAAACGAAATTTCAGCTCAAAATCCATGGTTTCCAACACTCGGGAGTCAAACCATTTGAGTGCAACAAATGTGACAAACAGTTGGCCACTAAAAGCAAACTCAAGAGTCATATGAAAACACACGACGGCTATGCCTGCGGTCGAGAGGGATGTGATTACAAGACATACAAATGGAGTGAATTGCGGAAACATATATCGGTTTCGCATAGAGTTAGCCATCGATGCGATTCTTGTGATAAAGTGTTTAGCAGTTTATTTAATCTTAATTTCCACCAAAAGAATATTCACTCAAACGAAAGCCACAAAATTGTCTGCACGTATGATAACTGCGGCAAAACATACTCTAATGAATCCAATCTTAAGACTCACATTCGATCCAAACATATGAAGCAATTGTTTGAATGCTCTGAAGAAGGATGTGATAAGAGTTTTCTACACAAGAAGTCATTGACTAAACATTTAGAGAACCACTCGGCGCCTCAAATGCCAAACGTATGTTGTTTTCTATTGTAAATATGTTTCAATAGTTTCTCAAATTGTATATTAATTTTAGGCCAAAAATGCAGACAAAATATATCGAAGAAAAGTGAGTAAAGCGTCCGAATTGACTGCAATTGAATTGAATGAAAGCCAAACCAAACAAATAATGGATTCAGACTTTCTGTTCAGAAGTGAGACTCAGAGTCTGACACAAGAATGAAGAATTCGTGGGCAATAGGAATACAATTAATTTATTAACATTTATATTAAAAATATAGGTTTATATGAATTAGAATATAAAAGTTTATAAATACAGTATTAAGAATAAAATTACTAATTAATGACAAATGACCACAAAATCAATGATCACCTAAATGTCTATGACTGAGACACTCATATGTGATGGAGTGCACCAAAAGTTAACTGATTCTCAAGATCTTTGGCCGAAACTGTTCCGTGAATGGGCTGACAGTTGGGGTTAAACACGGAATATGCGCTCAACTCTCCCTTCCGTTTGGATCTATTCCTCAGATTAGTGCAAATGAAGACCAATAGAGCCAATGAGAAGAAGACGGCTCCGAACTGAAGCAAGAAAGCGATGGTTTGGCATAACATGTAAATCAATGCCTTCAGAGTTATCACAAAAATGTCATATTTATTGCAATCAAACAGCTTTTCGTCCACTTCTTCCTCATCGGTCACTAGATCTGCTTCGTGTGACTCGTCATCGGATTCTGTGTTGTATTCATTGGCCAACAATTCAAGCCTTTGATCGCTTCTATCACTCATTGTCTGTGAATTGATGTCCACTTGAGGTGGGCTTTGGATTCTTCGGCGAATTGAGTGCCAGATATTCAACACATTCAACGGTTCACGAGATTTCGATCTCGACTTCACTTTCTTTGACCGAAATTCAGATAATTTTGACTCAAAGTTATCACTCATTTGTCCAAATCATCAATCGATGGACACATTTATTAAACAAACAAATTATAAATGAATTAAAATTATAAGTAATTTAATATTAAATCAATTAAATTGTAACAAAATATGTCAACATTTGAGTCAATGCTTACGTCAGGTATTTATCTACAATAGTCTCTATCGCTTGACATCAGATGGCAGCACAGTTTGATTGTATCAAAACATCCCAATTGTTCAAACTCTTAATCACAGGTTTTCTAATATCCATAGGCATAACCATTTGCCGATCATTTGGTACCTTTATGTGTCGAACAATATTAGAAACAATTTTTGAATTTTTATTTTATTTTTGATTTTTCGTGTGATTTTCAAATTAGACAACAGTTTTGTAAACAAATGCAATGAAAACACAATTAAAGCAATGAATGAATGATTAATTGATTTAATTATAATACAGATTAAGGAGTATTTGTGTGAAACAAGTGGTCAAACCATGTCTTCAAGCGCTGCCTCCAAGTCGTGTCGAAAGCGAGTGAAACGAAGCCATGATTTGATTGAATGTGAGATCATATTAGACAACGGATTCATTAGCAGAGGTCTGACCGCAAGACTTGTGTCGGAAATCTTCAAATACTTGCTGTACGACAGACAACAGATCCCTTTCCCTCTGTCCAACTCCCAGAGTTTGCGTCAATTGAATGACAAGTCAATCGCCAAACAGTTGTCACCCAAAGAGGAACTAATTCTAGTGATGATCTCTGACTTGAATCGCGTGTTGAATGAATTGATTTGTATAATGAGTTTGAATGAGATTCGTGTCGACTGTGTCTCACTATCTTTGGGCCAAACCTTGCAAATGCCTAAAGAGTTGTATTGCATTGAAATGCCCGCTCAACACATCTATGATCACAAACACACCACTGATTGCACACAACTGACCCTCAGGTCAGTCGTCACCCGATTCTTCCGATGCATTCTTCACGACAAAAACATTTTGTTTCAAAACCGCAAAGACATAGCGATCACCAAAATGTTTGTTCTCATCAAAGTCAACAAATGCTACGCCAAACAAGTGATGGACCACGAGGTTCAGTGTCACCAAACGGATCAAATGGGCGATCACTCTGAGCCACTGTTCACCCCTCATGTGGACTATAAAGTACCCAAATTTGGGAACAGATTT